GAACTGAGAGAAAGACATTTCTGAATTCTCTATTCTCCATACAGCTACAGTAAGCTCATTTTCAAAAAATTGACAAGAATATATACTGGGAAAAGGACAGTATCTTCAATAAATGGTGCTGGGAAAACTAGATATTTACATGCAAAAGAATGAAATTTGACCCCTATTTCTTTCCGTATACAAAAATCAAATCAAAATGGATTACAGGCTTAAATCTAAGACTTGAAACTATAAAACTAGTAATAGAAAATATTGGGGAAATTCCCCAAAATATTGGTCTTAGCAAAAATTTCTTCAGTAATACCCCACAAACACAGGTAACCAAAGTGAAAATAGATAAATGGGATCACATCAAGTTTAAAAGCTTCTGCACAGCAAAGAAAAATATTGAAGACTCAACCCACAGAAAGGCAGAAAATTTTGACAAAGGAATAATAACTAGAATATAAAAGGAGCTCAAATAACACTACAGGAAAAAAGTCTAACAATCTGATTAAAAAATGGGCAGAAGATCTGAATAGACATTTCTCAAAAGAAAATATACAGATGACAAACAGGTGTATGAAAAGGTGCTTGACCATTGACATTATTCACAATGAGAAAAAACTAACTGAACACATGGAGAGAGAGACTAGGCGGTTAGTTACTAGAGGCTAGGAAGGATATTAGAATCGGAATGGTTAACAGGAACAAAAAAAAAAGAAAAAAACCTAGTATTTGCTACACAACAGGGTGACTGCAGTCAAAAATAATTTAATTGTACATTTTAAAATAACTCAATGAGTATAACTGGATTGTTTGTAACACAAAGCATAGATGCTTGAAATGACGTATACCGTATTTCACCTGATGTGGTTATACATTGCATGCCTATCAAAGTATCTCATGCAATCCATAAATACATACACCTACAACTTACCTACAAAAATAACAAATAAAAATATTTTATAAAAAGTAGTGAGATATAGATGAAGTCAAAATAACAAGACAGCAATATCAGATACTAATATCAGAGTGTTGACTTTGGATACCTAAAATCTGGATTTGGTAATGTTTGGAATGTGCTCTAAAATGATTATATAATAAAGGAGCAAAAATTGCTCCAAAAGGAATGACATAAACCAAAAAGAGTTTCAATCAAACAGAGCTGAAAATGATAAAACAAAGCTGGTTTATAACCCATAAGTTAAATGCTATAGCTTTCCCATAGCTTTCAGATAATTTTATCTATTTATTTGGGTAATACTGAAATAGGGTAAAGCAGGGACTCAAAGCAATGATATCTAATTAGAATTATTAAGTATATAACCTGTATCCAAGGATTGACAGTTATTTGTGGAGTTCTTTGTATCATTTCATTTCAGTTGAGGTTGGGCATACAGCCATAATCCTAGAATCCAAATTAGGGTGCAATAAAAAATTGTAACTAATCTCTCCTCAAGCATACACAATTGAAGCTGCAATGTAATTTTTGGCTTTTATTTTAATTGACGTGAATGGAAAAGTAAGAAAATGGGAGCACAATGAATCAGAGTCCGGTCTAAACCTAACCATTAGAAATGGTGAAGACAAAGAAAGTCACAGACAAAGATCTGGCCCACATCACTATGATCTCTATCTTCATAATTTGAGTCCAGAGTGACATCTACTCTTTAGAATGGGAAAATAGAAAGAGAGCAGATCTATGCTTATTGACTCCAGTCACGCATACACCCTCCACTTTCTTTCTTGCCCAGATTGAAGCTGATAAAACTTGCTACATTTTAACATAAATGTATTTATTTATGCCTAGGAATGAGCGAAATAATCATAAATGTCTTTACTTCAAAAATATTATTAACTCTATGATATAGTACTTTTATAATAAAGTCTCTATTTTTAAAAAGAATCTTTAAAAAACAGAATTTTTATAGATACAATTCTCACATACCTCATAAAAAATGAACATGAGGTGTTCAAAAACACTTACCATAAAAGGTAATACCAATAGGACAATTACATTTGTTGCATAATCATGTGTCTCAAACTAAATATGATACAGGAATATTTTACATTCCTGATGTATAACCTTACCTTCACAAGGCAGGTTTTTAAAAAAAATTCCAGGAAATAATTAAGAATGAGAGTCAGTGAACTACAAGCCAACAATGAAATATCAACTGATTTCAGCTGCACTATTTGATTTCCAAGAGCTTCTTTAGAGGCTAGGGCTCCTCTGGAGTGTAAAACTGAAAATATAAGACTGATTGCTGAAGAAGTCAGGTTTAAGGTCTTTTAAAATGCAATCATTGCAGCCACAAAATTTAAAGAAATCATACTTAAGTGTTTAGTAAAAATTAATATTGCAACACTCACTGCCACACTAAATCACAGGGTTAAAGGCAGAATATCAATACTGTCAGTTACTTCTCTACAATAATTAAACTTCATTCAATTATTTTTCAACAGAAATAGGAAGGGAGGTTCACAGACAAAGTACGCTCAAATGGATATGCTGAAAAAACAACTGGATTCCACTGTGAATTCAGAACACTTACAGGTAGATATAGGAAATTATGTAGGTCTAAAAATCATTGTAATGTTTGACTCAAGAGTTCCCAGTTCAATTGCAAACTGATAGAGATCTACATAGTTTCAATATTAAAATACAAATGGCAAGATTGTATTTTTTGAGGGGGCAAGGAGTTAAAATTAATAGATGCTTTAAATCTATTCCAAAGAGTGATTAATCATAGTACTTTCTGTATAAAACATGCTACATGAAAACAGCGTAATCAATCAGAACCAGCTTTACAATCAGGGTGAGTGGCCTAGGCCTGGCCCTGGGTCTGCCATGCAAAGGACAATGGTACCTTGGACAACACGACTGCTCAGTGTGTGAGCACAGGAGCCAGGCAGTAACTGTGGATGGGATAGAGAACTCTTAATGCCTTGGTGAGCTGGATTAGATAATCTCTAGTTTCTAAACTTATGATTCAGGGTAAAGGAGAGAACATCACGGCCATACTGATTCTGCAATACTCTATGTTGGCTCACGTACTAAGAATAGGACCTATATAATAAATAAGAGGTTCATATATTTATCTAGTCCAGATTAGAATCAGGACTTCCTGGCTGTGTTAAATATGCCTTACATTTATTAACATAATAATCACATGAAAGGAAATATGATCATGTGTCACATAAAGGTATTTTGGTCAAAGATGGACTGCATTCATGACAGTAGTCCCATAAGATTGTAAGGCTGTATTTCTTTTGTACCTTTTCTACATTTAGGTACACAAATACTTACCATAGTGTTATAATTTCCTACACTACTCAGGACAATATGTATACATAGTATACCCCAGGTGTCTGGTGACTATACCATCCAGGTTTGTATAAGCACACTGTATGATGTTCACACAATGACAAAATTGCCTAATGATACACTTCTCAGAATGTACCCCTGTCATTAAGTAATGTATAACTGTACCAAAATGTTTCCTGTGCCCACTGATGCAGGGACTTCTTAAATGGGAGATAAAACCTCTAACATTAAATATACCAGATTATTTGGACCATAAATAATGTCCATACTTTTCTCCCTTCTTTTACTCTCCAAAGTGAATGCCAGTAATAAAAAAGATACCCCTCTCAGACTTACTGAGAACTAAATATACACAGTCATGACAAAAATTTTCATCATGCAAGGCGTATTGTTTATATTGTCATTCAGATTTTTAACTTCGGTTGCAAGGAAGTGTAATTCTTGTCATTAGAGATCACTGAGGAATAAAGTAAATGCTGCTACTACAGCTGAAATCATCAAGCTGAGCACCTGCTCTGAGCTCATGAGTGAGAGATACACTGCTGAGGTCTGATTGTTCTTCACCTTCAAGAATATATTGATTCCTCTTGAAAGACATATATTTTTTATTCTTTCAACTTTGGGAATCAATTGAAAGACAATTTCTAAGAAAAATTAAGGTAGAACTTAATCAGATGGCAACATATTTGACATAGATTATTGGAATGAAAATCAAAGATTCAAAGTAAGCTAAATTTCTTTATTATTATTATTGTTATTGTTGTTGTTATTTTCTTCTGCCCCATAAAATCTGCAGGAAAGTAGTAAGGTAAATTTTTAACAAAATCCTTAGGAAAAACAATTTAGATCAAGAGAAGCCATTGTCTCTAAAATCATTTGTTATTAAATGTTCTATCTAAAATTCACAGCAATGCCTGGCACAGACCAGAAACTCTAAAATTTATTAAGGTATAAATTGAAGGGATGAATAAATGGGGAAAGATCTCACGTTAGCTGAAAAATTGGATACTATGGCCAGGAACAGTGGCTCATGCCTATAAGGCCAGCACTTTGGGAGGCCAAGTTGAGAGGATCACTTGAGCCCAGCAATTCAAGAACAGCCTGGGCAACATAGTGAGACCTTGTCTCTGCAAAATAATTAAAAAATTAGCCAGGTATGGTGGCAAATGTCTATAGTCCCAGCTACCTGGGAAGCTGATGGGAAGATCACTTGAGCCCCGGAGTTCATGATTGTACCACCGCACTCCAATCTGGATGACGGAGCGAGACCTTGACTCAATAAAAGGAAAAGAAAAGTTGGATATGAATATGGTTTCTTCAGGGGTCACTGAAGATACCCCCACCCTGACTGTTACTTGAAATACTTATTTTCAAGTACTGCAAAATATTGCTGGATAAGAAAATGAAGCAAAATTCTGAGGCCTTGAAAATGTAAATGTGGACATAACAAACTGACAGTCCATGCAGATTCCTAAGTGTAAGACTGACACTTAGAAATGTACCTAATATTTCTACAATAGATGCAGAACCAACAGGTAAGATGCTTCTGAGAGGGAAGACTAGAAACACAAGGAAGTGTGGGATTGTACTTATAAGACCCTGAGCAATCTTATCTTTTACTTGACTCAAATGTGTCTACCGTGGGTAGGGTGAGAAGAAAGGTTAAGCAATACTAAAATAAGCCACTTACTGCTGTCCATGCATTTCTTTTGCACCGAGCACACAGCCATCCATCAGAGATCTCATGAGAAGGAATACCATAACAGCCTATAAAATAATAGAATGTAACCATGCATTAGGTCTTTTTCACCTTTAAAATATTGTAGATCTCAGTACTAAAATAAATAAAAATAGGACACTAGCCTACCACAGTGTCTTGATTCCTACTGCACAGAACAAAACATAAGCAAGGTGAATGTGAGTCTTATTGATAACTAATAACAACAGTTATAGAGAATACTTATGGAACATCTTCAATGGGTAATAAAATTTTAAACTGTCAAGTCTAGTAGTTTCTTCATGCACAGACATCTCAAAGTAAGTTGTAATCCATAGGACAAGGTTAAAAAATGTTAAAAATAATAAAATGAATACATTTTGACCTAATATTTTTAATTAATATAATTTTAAATTAATTCAAGAATTAAGTTTATCTACCTTTAACCTCAATGATAGGGCAAATGCTGCAAATTCAGAGTTCACAATGAAGGAGTATTTTCAATTCAATTTGTCTTTTCAGTTCATGCCTGACCCAAAGTAACTATCTAAGGGGATGGCTGATGGTGCAAATATACATAGCAATTATATGGCATCATAGAACACATGCCACTCTGACTTCTTGAGATAACAGAATTTTGAAATATTTAAATGAGTAATTTTTAATATCTCTGATATTAAAATTCCCTCCTTATAAGAGGGTTAAGATTCAATGAGTAATTTTTTTAAAATTTCTATAACATTTGAGATGGAAACAAAATAACAGAAATGTAATTTCCCGAGGAAAAAAACCTATCATAGATAAGCATGCCCATAAAATACTGACTTAAAGCATATGTGTATAAAATAGTATGGCTACACTGTATAGCTGCTACATTCAGAAATCAGATTGTATCCCAATTATTTTGTGTCCTGGTACTTTACCTATTGTATACACATAATAATGTAAGGTGTGTGTGTGTGTATTACAAATTGCCTTTAATACAAAAAGAAGATGGCTATTATTACATTTCAAGCAGATGGTGTTTGAATCCCTTGAGGAAGTAGATAGTATCTAATTAATAAATGATAGATGGAAACTGTTTCAACTCTAATATAAGGTGATTATTACTCCGAGGTAAATATAGAAGATAATATCTATATTATAAACCATGCAAACTACATTGATAGAGACAGGCCATACCTAAGTGTGTTTCTAGAATATGTAATTTAGTAAGATCTAGAATACTAAAATGCCTTAAAATAGAGTTGCAGTATATGAGATCCCATTTATATATTTTATAGGATTTACATAGCAGACCAATAAATATTTACCACTTAGCCAATTGTTAAAAATAATAAAATGAAATAGGTAATGAGACTATCTCAGTCCAGGGGTAAAATAACTGTAATGACTATCTCCCCTGGAAGGCAACAGAGATTTTTACCCTTATGAAATGCAAAAAATTTAACTCAGTACAATTCTCAGAATAACCGAAGGAACATTCATTTCTCTTTTAGAATTCACAAAGAAAAACAGTCATCAATCAATATCAGACTTTCAAATTAAGTTTTTATAAACTAGATCTTAAAGTAAGTAAAATTTAAGCATGTGAAAGGAAACCTCATGATGGAACTCTCATCTAGACCCCAAACAAACAAACCAACAAAAAAACCCCAGAACTGCTCTCCAATTATACTACATAAAAGAGGTGGAAAAAGAATGAATATACTAACTCATACTTTTACTAGAAGAAATGTGAAAAAAAATGATATAACCATTAAGAATGCCAATAGTCCATGCAACAGATTGACAGGTTCTAAAAAAGTGAGAAATAAAGATGATGTGAAATGCTGAAAAGCTAGTGATTGATGAATTATAGATCCATTTACTTGCATGAACCCGTACACAGCACTTTGCACAGGAAATCAGAAGACTTGTTCCATCCTCTTCAAGAAAGGCATTGGGTGGAGAATATTCTATATTTTCTTCACTATAAATAAAACACATCTCTGGTATGAGGGGCTTAGTCTTTCCTTCAGACATAACGACTTCATCTAATTTTGTCTCCCATCTAGCATCATTTTCTTCATTGCTGCTATCTGGCTGAAAAACACAACATTTCCACATGAGTGAAAAACATGGAAAAGAGCTCATCATTCTGGTCACTCAAATCCACTAACTCCTGTTCCAGACACTAACTTCTAACTTTTGTTCTTCCAGTTGTTCTTGACCAAACTACTAGTTTTTTATCAACGTTCCACCTCAGACTCCCACCCAAAAGCTAACCTCCAGGAACAAGACAATATTCTATATGTCTTGTTCATATAAGAAAGTGGCTAGCTATTAAAAATGTGTCTTTCCAAAATTAGTTCATGGAAAGCATCAATTCTTTTGCTTCTTCATATGCACTAGTGAACAGATCGGCTTTCACTTACTGAAGAATCATACCTTGCTACACTTGAAGGAATGTGCAAAGACCCGAGTTTTTATCTGTGCAGCAGTATTAAGAGAGGCTTTAAGGGGTTTTGCCTCATCACACTATTTGTAAGCAAGAGAGAGAGAGAACTGGCACATGTCACTAAATAAGAAAGGATAATGTATCAAACAAAATTATCAACTCATACCAAAAGGTATAAAAAATATGTTTAGTATTTACTTGAAACTGTAAGTAATGAATTACCTTACAGATTTTATATTACTAAATCTCCCCAAATCTTATTATTTTAGTTAGAATTTTTAATTATTGAGAAATATAGAGACAGATTATAATGTAGAAATAATTATCAATAAGTAGTTAAAACACAGAAATTCAATGACTAAAGGAAGAGAAAAATAATGTTTATCACTCACCAGTGCCACATTAAAAAACATAAAGGGAATAAATTATTTCCTCTGTTTACAAAGGTCTGAAAATATTAAGATATCACACATTTTCTTGCTTTGAAATGTCTGAACAGTTTATTTTTATAAGAAACTCTAAATCTTGAGTAAAGTATTTCTATTTCTAAAAATAAAAATATAACCTAAAACACAATGTTCGTGTCAATATATTTCATAATATATTATACCTTAAAATGAACTACACGGTGGAACCCTTACGAGACTCCTAAAGATCATTTCAACTCTTTGAGTGCTGAGGACCGTGACCTTTCATAAGCTGAGGTGCTATCGGTATAAGATCTATGCAATAATGCTGAAAACAACATCAAGCACAGCTGGCTGGTGAGGTTGAACTGGAAAATTTAGTATATATGAGTCTTGGCTGTGTCTTTTGCATGTTCCACATTTCAGGAAGGTGAAAGAAACATTTAAAATTTGGGCCTAGGGCTGATGTTTCTATTATTTGAGAATGACATTTTCAAACAAAAAACAGAGATTAAGTCTAAACTCTCTCTCTTTGAAAGCGTCTACCATTTGTAAGCTTTAAGTTCTGTGTTTCTTGGTAAAAGACGTGGAAAAGTTGAAAGTACCCCTCCCATGGAATAAAATAAGATAAAAAAGATTTGAGACACCAAGGTGGGAGGATCGCCTGAGGCCAGGAGTTCAAGAGTAGTCTAGGCAACCCAGTGAGACCCAGTCTCTACAATAGATAAAAAATAAATTTAAAAAGTTAGCCAGGCATAGTGGCTCACACCTATGGTCCTAGCTACTGTGGAAGCTGAGGCAGGAGGATCGCTTGAGCCAGGGTATGAGGCTGCAGGGAGTCATGACTGTGCCATTGCACTTCAGTGTGGGCAACAGAGCACAACCCTATCTCAAAACAAAAAGATAAAGTACTTTCAGAAAAGTGTCTCCCAAGGAGGACGTAGATCTGTTTGTGGTTCTGTGAAGGCCATCAGCTATCTAAGGATGACTGTCTTCCTTATGTGCAAAGGATGCCCGCAGCAATTTACAGTGATCCTGTGGTGTATGGTCACACAGAAAACACAGCAGTGAATGGAACTGTGACAGCATCTCCCCTTTACCTTGTGGTACGGCATGAGCAGAGTGCAGATGGCACAGTGTGGCTTCATCCTGGCCACTGTTGCATTATACTCTTGCTCGGCGGCGAAGTTAGGGGACTTCGTCTGCCAAAGGTGGATGAGAGGCTTCGCCCAAGACTCTGTTTCTTCCACTTCCTCCTCAATGGACAGAACCTCAGGCAATTCTTAAGGGAGAAGGCATGAAAATACCGTGAACATGGGAACCAGGGAAAACCATCACCCTGGATACAAAAGACGCAAACATTCAACAGAATCTGTGATATTAAGGCCAGAAACCAAATCTATTTTGTCTTCCAAATAAATCCTGAGAGAGGCAAAATAAGGGAAGTCGCTTTACAATCGTCCTCAGGCCTCAAACACTAGATCGGATCTCAAGGCCAGATAACCGCCCTCATTTTGTGACCCTCCCATCCCTGACAGTATAAATAACTACCCCATCCCCTCCTTCCCACATTACTCCTTCCGTGTCTCTACTGCTACGGTAAAAGCTCCAGTACTAAAACAGGTTTATGTGTATGAGATTATCTTCCAGTTATCAGAGAACTTCACAACCCAGAAACTACCTTGCCAATATTTCTACTTTCTTCATCTAACATAGTACATGGCTCAATAAAAGTTTAATTGAACTTCATTGAATTAACTTCTGTGTTCAAGAATTTATGACAATTAGCATTTACAGAGCAGCTATAAAGTACCAAGCAATATACTGGCATTACATGGATATAAAAGAAAATCCCTTGTCAGATCTTCTCCTTTGTTCCATAAAATACCCCTAGAGGGTCAAGTCTTTAAAATGCATGTTTCTTTATTTTCCCCTTTTTGAGACAGAATTTTGTTCTTGTCACCCAGACTGGAGTGCAATGGTGTGATCTCAGCTCACTGCAACCTCCGCCTCCCAAGTTCAAGCGATTCTCCTGCCTCAGCCTTCCAAGTAGCTGGGATTACAGGCATCCACCACCATGCCTGGCTAATTATTTTTGTATTTTTAGTAGAGATGGTGTTTCACTATGTTGGCCAGGCTTTCTCAAACTCCTGACCTCAGGTGATCCACCCATCTTGGCCTCCCAAAATGTTGGGCTTACAGGTATGAGTCACCTCACCCAGCCTAAAATGTATATTTATTTACTCCACAACAACAGCACTTCATAAAATGTTACAGAGCACCACAAAAATACAGAAAGACACAACATGTTAGAAAAAATTCTTCATCCCTATATCAGAGGACAGTACCTCAGAGCAAGTGGCCAGAATAAAAGCTGCACAGTCTAGGGCTGTGACACATTTTAGACATCCACATGAGTAGCTTTCATGGTCTGATAAATGAATATTGTAGAGCAATGTGCTTAACTACAATGCACTGGTGAGTGAGTGTGTTCCAGCCCTTGCCACGTTGACTTACCTGTTTTAGAAAATGTCAAATTAGATTTGCACTGATGGCAAAATGAGGAGGACTGAATGAGGCTGAAAATAACTCAAAATATATCAAATGCCAACTGAAGCATGAAGGGTACCTTATAACATTATAATAATCATGTTATCGTTGTTGTTATTATTTTTACAATGGAAAATGTGTGGTACTTACCCATGGGTAGAGTATTTGAAAACAAAAGAACCTTTGCCTATATTTGCAATGAAGCAATCTGACTCTAAATGTAGACTGTTTCTCACAGCACTTGACCTCACCATAACAGCAAAAGGAAATGTCTAAAAAATTATTATAGCACAGGATACATTACAGCTAATTTTATGGAGTTATGATTTAATACTGCACCTTTGTATTTGGTTACATCTATGTTTGTGTGCATATGTTGTGACAAATTTTAACTTTTTATAATAGATTTATGTTTATGGTAGTAAATGATAAAATGGTGTTATATTTGCATATATTTTATGCATTCGTGACATATCTTTTTCTTTTTTTCAATATTTCTAGGCTACATGATTCATTTGAGAGTTTTTTCAAATTATTCCAGGTTTGCAAAAAATGTTCTAATGTATTTATTGAAAAAAAAAATTGCAATGTAAGTAGACCTAAACAACTCGAACCAATGATGTTCAAGGAGTCAACTGGAATTGAATGATAACTGCAGTTTTCAAAATATGATCTGTGAACTCCAGGGGATGCTCAATCCTGTTGCATGGCATCTGTAGAGTCAAAACTACTTTCATAATAACACACATGTTATTTACCTATATTACTCAGTTAAGATCTGGAACGGTGATATAAACCAGTAGACAGTAAAACTGTTGGTGCCTCAGCATGAATCAAGGTAGTGGCACCAAAGCAATCATTATATTGACTACCTTATAATAACAGAGGGAACAAAAAGGCAGTTTCTCTTAATAATGCCTTGATGGGGGGGAAGCATCGATTTTATTAAATCTGTGAAAAAAAGGAATGTATGCATACAATATTTCTGTATATACTGAAGTTCAACAGTGATCTTTTAAAAGGCACTTGTGTAATTAATTGAATTGCAGGTTGAATTACCTGCCATTTTCACGGAACACCATTTTTCCATGAAAAAAATTATTAGCAAACTACAATCATTCAGACTTGGGTGGTTGGCAGGAATTTTCTTGAAAATAAACCAAAAAAAGAGTCATTTTTAAAAAAAACAACTAGAGTATTTGTCAACAATGCTAAAAATCAAACTTAGGAGTCACAATTAAAATTTCTAGAAAATCTGTATCCATTATTGTAAGTTCAATAGCTTCCAAATGCTTAAAACTGTCTCTGGTGAAAGTGATAATAAAATGATTGTAATTTTTTATACCAGATAAAGAGATGTGTCAACACCTAAAAGATCTGGATAACTCAGATCTTTGTTTACTAATGCACAGTATTAAATATCATGCATGGATGAAAAAGCCATTTAAAATCCAAGATATACCAATGAATTTTCAGCTTAATAGAGTTCAAAAAGTTCACTGATACGATTTTAAATTCCACACTGAAACCAAATTACTATTTGTCAGCTTTTGATAAAGAGTCAAAGAAGAATGTCCATAACTATCTAGAAAGGCTATTAAAATACTGTTTGCTCCCTTTCCAACCACATTGTCTATGGGAAGCTGAAATTCTCATGATAAGAGATTGAATGCAGAAGCAAATAAATAAAGTAATCTAGTTGTCTTTTATTAAAACCAATACTAAAGACATTTGCAAAAAAATATAACTAACATCTCCCCAATCTGCAGGCCTGGTAACTACCACCCTAATCTCTGCTTCTACAAGTTTGACTTTTTTAGATTCCACATATAAGTGAGCCGATGTGGTATCTGTCTTTCTGTTCCTGGTTTAATTCACTTATCATAATGTTCACCAGGTTCATCCATGGAGCAGCAAATGTCAGGATTTCCTTCTTTTATAAGTATTCAACTGTGTATACATACCACATTTTCCTTATCCATTCTTTGACTGACAGACACTTGAGATTGATTTCATATTGTAGCTATTGTGAATAATGCTGAATGAATGTATCAGTGCAGATATCTCTTTGACATATTGATTTCATTTCCCTTATAATCTTTGGACATATACCCAGATGGGAATTTCTGGATAAAATGGTAGATCTATTTTTAATTTTTTCCAGCAATCTCCATACTGTTATCCATAATGGCTGTACTAATTTACATTCCCACCAACAGTGTACAAAGGTTCCCATTTCTCTATATCCTAACCAACGCTTATTGTCTTTTTGATAATAGCCATTCTAATAAGAATAAGAAGTGAGGCTTTCATTTGTACTTTCCTAATGAGCTGTGACATAGAGTGTTTTTTCATATAACTGTTGGCCATCTTTATGTCTTCTGAGAAACATCTATTCGGGTCCTTTTCCCGATTTTAATCCTTATGATTTTCTTGCTACTTAGTTGTTTAATTTCCTTATATATTTGGGATATTAACAACTGATCAGAGATATGGTTTGTAAGTATTTTCCCATACTTTCTGTAGGTTGCCTCTTTACTCTGTTCATTTCTTCCTTTCCTGTGCAGAAGTATGTTTGATAAAATCCCATATATATAAATTTTCTTTTGTTGCCTGTGCTTTTGGAGTGCAATCGCAACAAAAGCAAAAATTGACAAATGGGATCTAATTAAACTAAAAAGCATCTGCACAGCAAAGGAAACTATATCAACAGAGTGAACAGACAAACTACAGAATGGGAGAAAATTATTCCAAACTATGCATTGGACAAAGGTCTAATATTCAGCATATATAAGGAACTGAATCAAATTTACAAGAAAAAAAAACAACCCCATCAAAAACTAGGCAGAGGACATGAACAGACACTTTCCAAACGACAGCCGAGGTCTATTGAGTCATGCCAGGATCTTGGGTTACTGTGGGCCAGCTTGGCACTAAAGATCCAGTGGATCCCTATCAACTAGAAACACAGAGATGGTCCCGGATCCTTGTTCTGTGGGAGTTGGCCCAATGCCAGCATCTTCTGTGGTAGACCTGTACACTGGGTTCACTGGGGCAGGCATGAAACTCAGGTCCATAATGGCTGGTCTAGATCCTAGGCCAGGGGACCAGCTTGGAGCTTGGGTCTGTGAGGGCTATCTTGGCTCTGGAGTGGGTATGGAGTCCGGGACTACAAATGCTGGCTACTGTTGAGGCAGGCTTAGAGGCTAGCTCTGTGGGTGCTGGTCTGGAGTCTAAGGATGTGGGTACTGGCCTGGCACTTAAGCTAGTCTTGAGGATGAGAGATGGTGTGACACTGGGGCAATCCTGGAAGGACAGTCTGCAAGTACCAGCCAGTAATCTAGGGCTGTGGGACTGTGGGGTGCTGGGTTTCACTGCAACAGACCTTAGATTGGGATCTGAGGGAAAATCTGATTCTCATGTCACTCTCCTTTCCACAAAGGTATCCCTATCCCTCTCCTCACTGTACTGCCTGAGGTTAGGGGATGATAATACAGGTAATGTAAAATTGTCCTTCCTATCTCTTCAATGCATCTTTTCCCATTTCTGTGCTACACCCACATGCCATCATCTCTCATCTGGTTCTCTTAGCTCTTTTGAAGGCATTTTTCAGGATTGACAGTTGTTTAATTGATGCTTCTGCCAGGGCACAAGTGCTGTGAAGTCATATTGCACTGACTTGCTGATGTTTCTAATTATTTTTTATGGTTTGGGAAAAATCATTTTTTAATG